TTTGCTCTGCCTCGCGACAGTTGAATTTTCGTTCTCTTCGAATACAAGTAATAGTTTTTTGTATTATCAATGCGGGGAATCAATTGATGATGCTCGTATACTTTTGGATTGAGAAGTCCAACAAACCGATTATATTTTGGTTGTGGGTCAACTGAGCGACAGTTGAGTTGACAGTTCTTGATAGACGGAAAGTTCCATTAATATCAAAATTCAGATCAGTTAAAAATGCAAAAATCAACCCGCTTTCCACGTGCATCAATGCTGCCAATCCTTGTGAAAACGGGAATTGGACATGATCTGTGAACCCTACTTTTGAGGTCAAGAGCATCCGAAATTGAAATATATTTCTGTTGCTGCCACAAAAAGTTAGTAGTTTTTTTTTTTTTAACTTGGTGAGTGAAACTGTGCATTTGCAGTGTTCAAAGGAAATCTTGGATCTTTACAGACCGACAATTCCACTATACTTTTGTTTCTACGGGTAAAAACGAGCCTAGTCAAAAAATTTACGTATAATGACATAATTAGAAGATACAGTAAATTAAAACTGTCATTACTTCAGAATGGTATTATAGAAACGGATCTAAAACTTCAAATTTTTCATGTCATTCTCACCAAGTCCCTTCTGTGCAAATTTGGACGCGAGATGCTTGTTGACATTTTGGTTCAGGGACAAAAAGTCGTGAAAGCGGAAATCGGCTCGTCTTCGTAAACTTCCGCGAGGTTCGAATCTGAATACTGTATAAAAATGCGAATCGGGGCTCACCCAAACAAAATAAAAAAAAAGCTGTTTTATTTCCCGGACCCATTCACGTATCTCACCTCCAATTGTGGTTTGAATTCATCGTAAATAGAAAGTTAATGGTTTCTTCAAGGCTTGACACGAAAGGCTGAGGTTTGCATTAAACTTGGGCGAATAAAATGCAAGGTTTAACAGTGATAGATGACATATTGCTCTGCTAATGTGGCTTTAAAATTGTATGGTTTTCTAAAGCTAAATTGACTTCACGTTTGTACCTGATTTGGGTTCTAATGGACTTGTTTACGATTATGTCAAATGACACTTCTTTAACTCAAAAGTTATAATTAACATGTAAAGGAAGTTCAAGAAAGTAAACTCGCGTCTAAAGAGACGCTTTTATTTCATTATTTCACGAATTTTCCGAAAGTTATTTCACGCGTTGGACCGAATTTATAATGACGGGTCTTACGCGCAAAAATTACACTCAGGTTTGCAGCATACCGTATAGTTTCTTTGTTGTTCTACTTTTCTTGTGTGACTTTCGTGAAATTCTGAAAATCATTACTGCACTTGCTACGGATTCATTCCATGGATTGAAATCATGATTTTCAGGGCACGAAAGATGTTTTTGAGACTGAGGAAAACATATTCACCAATTTTTTGGACGTTATATTTTACATTGTAATTTAAATCAAGTGCTTTTAAATGCAATAATTATAAGTTATGAAGTACTGTACATTTTTTGGACCTGCATTTACACCCAGAGATTTATCTAATGAAGAAAACATGAATCTTAGTCAATCTTAGATCATGAAAAGGCTATGGACTAAACCCAAGATTACCTGAACAAATGCTAATACAGTTTACTGTGAAGAAATTGAGTTTTCAATATTAATTGTACATTTCCTTCAAGTTCTTTCATTTGAGCGCAGATTTCTCTGCGAAAATGTTCATTATTTCACGAATTTTCCGAAAGTTATTTCACGCGTTGGACCGAATTTATAATGGCGGGTCTTACGCGCAAAAATTACACTCAGGTTTGCAGCATACCGTATAGTTTCTTTGTTGTTCTACTTTTCTTGTGTGACTTTCGTGAAATTCTGAAAATCATTACTGCACATGCTACGGATTCATTCCATGGATTGAGATCATGATTTTCAGGGTACGAAAGATGTTTTTGAGACTGAGGAAAACATATTCACCAATTTTTTGGACGTTATATTTTACATTGTAATTTAAATTAAGTGCTTTTAAATGCAATAATTATAAGTTATGAAGTACTGTACATTTTTTGGACCTGCATTTACACCCAGAGATTTATCTAATGAAGAAAACATGAATCTTAGTCAATCTTAGATCATGAAAAGGCATGTGAGTAAAATGGATGGTTGTCTTATTTTCTGATAGTTTCAAAACACCGACGAAATTTCGGGGATTTTGCAAGGAGGAAAATGAGAAAAAAATCTTTTTCTGAAGAAATTGAAATTGTTCTATCGTTTTCATATTTTCCTGCTCGATTCTGTACTTCGCGCCAAAATCAACCCCTTTCTCCTATGGTGTCTCACTGCGGGAGAGAAACAGCTTTCTACCCTCTACGAGAAACAAATTGCAGTTACTGTGCTGCTGTAGTTTTTACGATTGTCTTCCGTTCTGTCAAAGGCCCCTCATTTTATTTTTTTCGTCGAGGTTCGAAACCCCGTTATTATCAGTGGGTTAATTTTCGCGTGATGGCGTCATCGTCCGCGCATGCTGATGGTTGCGTGAGAGGAAAACGAGGCCCTGTCGCAGCAAACCAGAAGCTCGCTCGAGGGAAGGATTTTTCTCTTTCTCCCTCACGCTCTCGGCTTTTCGTGTTCCTTCTCCTCTTTATTATTCTTCTCTAGTTTCTCGGTTATGTTTTTCAAACTGCCGTGTATTAAATTGCTCGGGAAATTTTGCTGCGTATTTCAACGTGGCGAGCGGATTTTGCGGCGAGCTTGGCCGACTTACACACGAGGTTTCGGGGCGGCTGCCGCCTCGGAAAAGCAGTTATGTTTCAAGCTGGTCCTGGTTCACATGCTGCTCACCAACTCAACNATTTTGCTGCGTATTACAACGTGGCGAGCGGATTTTGCGGCGAGCTTGGCCGACTTACACACGAGGTTTCGGGGCGGCTGCCGCCTCGGAAAAGCAGTTATGTTTCAAGCTGGTCCTGGTTCACATGCTGCTCACCAACTCAACCGTGTTTCTTCAAGACGAAAAGAAAGAAAGAAAAAAAGACCAGTGAATATTCCCTTGAGCGAGTTTTGGTTCATGACATGATCGTGACACTGTTTTCGTGAAACTGTCGGTTCATTATTGTGTGCAAATTTTAAAACTGCTGCGCGCCACTCCCGAGTTTAAAAGCGGACGATGAGAATTTTTTTTACGAGCCGAACTTTCGATGACCCTCGAGAATTTTTAATTTTGTTTTTCCTGAAATACTTTAAAACTCTCCGCTTCAAGCTTCGAGTAAGAAAAATTAATCGATTTAAAATAAAGAAAAGTACTGTAGTTATGTTTTAAGCTGGTCTTGATTCACATGCTCACCAACTCAACTGTGTTTCTCAAGGCGAAAATCAAAAACGACCAGGAAATATTTCTTTGAACGAGTTTTGTTTCATGACATGATCGTAACACTGATTTTGTGAAACAGGGGGTTTTTGAAGGTTCATTATTTTGTTCAAATTTTCGAACTCGAACTGCTGCACGCAACTCCGAGTATAAAAGCTGAAGATGAGAGTTTTTACGAGCCAAAAGTTTGATGGCCCTCGAGAATTTTTACATTTTTCCGTGAAAAAGTTGAAAAATCCCTGCCTCGATTAAAAAAGAAATTGTGTTCATAATATGTAGCAGCTTGAAAAGAGAAATGTTGGTCACCGTTGTTGCGTTGTAATCAGACGCAATGTGAAAGTGAAATCTCCGCCAAAAATTCACCCGAACAGTGCAATTTTTCCCCCGTCTGAATTCTGCCGTCGATTGCAACTACGGAATAATGTGATACGACCACCAGAACTGTTTTTTACGATGTACTCTACAATGTCCATTTTATTTTGCTTCCCTGGTCGAGATCTCGGAAATCATTTGAATAATGTACTCGCTTTCGGTAAGAAATGGTTCAATTCAATGCCAAGTAAGGAGAACTCATACAATTCTGAACAGGTTCCCCAACTGCGTGCAATGTCGTTATACCGGGCGCATTTCGAGTTAGTTCCTGGTCCCATTGTCCCGACAGACGAAGATTTCTTTTGCCTCAGAGCGGTTCTGACGACTTCCTGGGGCATTTTCTGATTTGAAATAATTGGTCCGAAAAACGTACAGTATTTCCTTTTTCGAAATCAGTGTTTCGCGGAAAAAGTGCGCGTCAATGAGAAACGTGACAATTTCGTGATTTTTGATTCAGTGTTTTGCAATAAGTGCTCCAGTGTTGTGATGGGGGTGACAGGAAGAAAACACGCCGTGCAAAACATGAGGCACGCTAAAAGTTTTCCTTTGAATGGACTGGATGACTGGGGGTTCCTTTGTTCAGATGATGAAATCTAGGAAATTTAATTTTTCTGAGCCTAATTATCGTCAGTGACACCCATACATAATTTAAATAGTCGTATTAGCTGTGAATTATCCCGTATGCTAAGGTCTTCTGAGCGAAATCGAAAAGTTAATGTCGAAATTATTGGGGAAATCTAGGAAATTAATTTTTCTTAGCCTGATTTTCGTCAGTGACACCCATACATAATTTAAATAGTCGTGTTATCAGTGAATTATCCCGTATGCTAAGGCCTTCTAAGCGAAATCGGAAAGCAAATGTCGAAATTACTGGTATTCAGTCCACTTCGTTTTTCATCAATTGATTAGATTTTAAGCGTGATGACGCAAATCCAAGACAATTCACGCATGCATAATTAAATTTGTAAACAGGAAAGACCCTTTAAAATCCATCTACGCAGAATATCAGTTTGGTGCTTTGAATTGTGCTTAAAGAATTTCCAAAAGCATGTGATTCTGATAAAAGCGGAAGAGAATTTTCAAAGGCGAAAGAAACATTTACTCTTGTGCAGCAGGTGTGTCTGTAATATTTTTGCTGGGTATGTTTTATCAGGGTCCCATTTTTCTCCCGGGTGATTTTTTCAATGGTTCCTTATCTCATCCCGTCACGTTTTGAACCTTTTTTTTAAATAAACCCTGACTGAAAGATTTGTATTTTGGTCTGATCATTATCATTATTACGTGAAACCCTCCACAAAAAAAGTGGCAGGTTGAATAGAGAAGTACCGCGAAAATGTTGGGCACGTTCGGTGCGTTGTCGAGCAAGGTGAAGGTGAACTATGCCAAAATCCGCCTGGACAATGCCATTTTCCGCCTGCATTATCGTGCCACGAGCACGTTCCTGATAGTGGCTTGCATTCTGGTGACCAGTACTCAGTACATCGGAAGTCCTATTCAGTGCATAATGGACGGCAAGAAGGCCCCGAACGCCATTAACACTTACTGCTGGATCGCGGCAACATTCTCCATCCCGGGCAGCTTCGGACGCAGCGTCGGTTCCGAGGTAATCAATTTCTCCTTCATTACTCTAGCTAAAATTATTATCCATTTTTATTGGATCGTTCGGATATAACGGCAACATTATTCAACAGCCGGGCTGACGATATAGTCCGTTGCGCAAAAGTTAACCTTCCGTGACTTGCGAAATCTAGTAGTTGAACCTCTGTAAGTCGAATTTCAAGGGACCAGCAAAAAAAAAAAATCGACTTAGGGAGGTTTGGAATTATATAGGTTTGAGCTAAAACACATACCGCTTTTGTTCTGGGAAATATATATATAAAAATCGCCTAAAATTTTAAACGGTGGTATTCTGGGGCTTGAATTGCTTCTTAATGGATTTTCAAGGATGCTGAACTTGTAGGCAGAGGTTCATTTGCCCAATTAAGTCTTTCACTTACTTTTCAGACACATACATTTTTAATTGTATTGCTTTTTTATTTCTTTTGTCAAGAAAATCATAGCCAAGAGGCCACGGAAAATTCGACTTACAGAGGTTTGAGGGGAAAAGCCTTCGACTTAAAGAGGTTTTTATGTATTGTTTTTAAGGGGATTCAGAGGAGATCAGAAAAAAATTTGTCTTTAGGGGGTATTCAACTTAGGGAGGGTTGAGTTATTGAGAATTCACCTGTAGAAGGAAAGTTAGATTGCTGTCCGCGAAAAAAAGGAAAAACTTGCTATATCTCTGTTTTTGTGTCATGGACGCGTCATTCTTGAGGTGTGAGTGAAGTATGTTAAGACCCACATAAATTCTTTTAATGTTGAGAGAGCTTGAGACTCCAAAATAATTTAAGCGTAGCTTCTCTCATTTTATGACATTTTAGTCGTTAACGCCATATAGAGGCGCCGCAGGGCACATGTCACACAATTTGATTTATGCAGCAATAAAAATGTGAACGGTTTTTTTGTAAACTGTCACTTGAAAAAAAAAGTTTTTCATCAGCTCGATGGTCAACCACATTCATTCGTGTTCTTACTTGCAAGTGGATTTCGCCTGACTCGCTGTAAGCCTTTGTAGAGCTGTGTAAACTTCCTCGTTCACTTGAGAAGAATAACTACATTTTGTAGACATGTTGTTTTCAAAAGCCTTATGAATTATTCTCGTTTTCATTAGATTTGGAAATTGGCCTGATTTTCAAACAATCAAGCTTTGTGATTGAAGAAGAGTAGCACGGATTTGTAGGAGGCTAAAATTTGCGACGGACAAAGTTCGAGGATATATGAGAACAAACATATATATCCTATCAATCATATGATCGATTATTTGTGAGGTTGATTACAAACTAGACCAGAACCCAAAATTCGAAGTGCTGCGATTATGATTATGCATAACATACTCCAACTCAGTTAATTTTAGTACAGTAATGTAGTTTTTGAGTCGCCAGAGTAAACTGCTACAAGAATTTCCGGTTTAACGAATTGTAAATATCGTCCAGTGAGATAATCATCAATCTTTCCACGGCCAGAGAACCATTTTTATCGCAAATTCAGTAGTTGAACGATTTTCCAAAATTTGAGAAATTTCCCGATGATAAAATAGAGAAAGAAGAAAACATGCATTCATATTTTCAATTCGGAGGACGGTGTAATTCAAATTTGGGCCCTCTTTGGGGTTTCATAATGAATTCAGACATTCGTTTTACCCTGAATTAATTAGGAAAAAAGTACAGTATATTATCCAGAGTACAATTGCAGTCATTCTACATCAGGATCAGTCAGCTTTCAATCTTGGGGCACCCTCACTTTTTCCCCAAAAGTACATTTGAAAAAAAAAATCTTTACAAAATAATCGTAATTTCGTAACTTAAACCTCATGTTGAACTTTTGTTTAGTCCCTGTCTGAATTCCCTGAATAACAATGTTATACAGACCGCACTAACTGAGAAAAAAAATTCCTCCTCAAATCTCTATAATCTGAGTTTCTGGAGGACTTCGGGCTATTAGTTTGGGGACCCCCGAAAAGAAGAGCAACAGAAATGTAAGGTAATGCTCGTCACAATAAAATGAGTGAATAATTGGGCTAATAGTTCAGCGTCCGTCGAGTAATTTTCCCAGCAATTTAAGACCCAAAAAATCACCGACTTTACCTCCTTGTAGTTTTTTCTCCAGCAAAAATACTGGTTGCCGTGACTAAAAAAGAAAGAATAACTCCCCAAGTAAAATTTTTGCGCGAATCCCTGAAAATTCAACTTACGTGCAGAAGTTCAATGCTCATAGAAAATCGTACAATATATCCAATTACTGTACTGTGATTCAGTTTATTATAACCCTTGGTTAGCGCAAAGAAATGACCATGTACGACAATGCTCGCGCCAAATCACGGTAGTACAGGATTTGATTGTCCAGGTAATTTAATCTGGCCACTGGCGGAGGCAATCAAATTTATATTGATACGGTCAACCACCGCAGAACAGACTTAATGTGTGTAACATACTATTCTGTTATTTGAAGAGTCTGTTATGCAAATTCAATTATTAAAAATTGAAATTTCCACTTTTTTACCAATAATTTTAATTCAACAGAATTCTGTTGGGAATATTTTTTCTGTTAGGCAGGAGGAAAAACTGCCTGCGGAAGTGGTCTGCTAGTGTATAGGTATCAGTCTTTCTATATGTACATGTACTCTATCCCAGTGTTCCCCAAACTTTTTGGTTCCGCGGACCAGCAAATTTCCAAAAAAAAACGTCCGCAGATTGAACAAATTTAATGTCTGACAGATTGAATAGCAGGCATTTGAAAAGCTTTTACTTTTCTTGCAAAATTAATTCAGGATCCAATGAAACAACTATAGTGGAATGTCTTCAAAAAAATGGAAAAGTGGGCTTGAAGGAAGGTTTTTCAGACTCAAAAATTAAAAATAATCCATTAAATCAGGTAAAATTTTGTCTGAAGTATTTTTAGGAGAAAAGCCAAGATATATATTTTTATGAGATAATTTAAACTGCCCTTGTCTTGACAAAATTAAAAATGAAGATATTGTAACGTCCTTCATTGCTACTTTTGAAAAATTCATGAGCCTGGAGAAATTTCTCGCGGATCGGCAAAAAACTTCTGCGGACCACCGGCGTCGGTCCACGGACCACGGGTCGGAGAACACTGCTCTATCCTATGCCTTCTGTGAATTTGTGATTAATCACTAACCTTTCTTACCTTTGTCTCCCAGGTGGCTCATCCGGGTGTGGGCCCGGAAGAGTACGTTCGCAACCCGAACACTGGCGAGTACGAACTCGCAGACACCGTTGAGCACGCCTACTACCAATGGGTGCCCTTCGTGCTGTTCCTTCAGGCCATCATGTTCTATTTTCCCCACTACTTGTGGAAAAGCCTGGAGGGCGGTCGGGTGCGATCCGTGGTCGTGTCTGGTTGTTCCAGGTCTGTCAAGGACGAAGAACGGGCCGGGAAACGCCAAATCCTGACCCGTTACATGGCGAATCACTTGCGCCGTCACGACGCTTGGTTTTATCAATTCGTGTTTTGCGAAATGCTGAATCTGATCAACGTCATCGGCAACATTTTCTTCACGGACAAATTCCTGGGATACGAGTTCTCCAATTTTGGCATGGAGGTGAGGAAGAAAGAGAGAGAGAGCTTTTGTGCGAAATCTAAATTCGTAGCAAGCAGTTTGGGACTTTTTGAGTTAAGGAAACGAGCATTTTTGTAGGGGGAAAGAAAGAAGAGTTACAGGAAATGGTAATCGTTGTTATTCTAGATCTAGAGGCCTTAAATTGCTGTTTGAATGAATTGACATGATGCTGAACTAGGAGGCAAGGGTTCTTTTGCCCAATTAATCTTTCACTTCATTCAAAACTACTGTGCATCAATTCATTTTTTTTTATCGTGTTCGCCTTTTTTGTGTCTGTAGAATAATAAGCAAAAAACCTCAAGAAAATTCGTCTTATAGAGGTTTGAAGGGGAAATCTTCGAGTTACGGATGTTTTTAATGCACCGATTCTAAGCTAAGGAGAATACATACAGGGACTTGAAAAAATTAAGATATGCGGGGATATTCGATTTGGAGACGTTCGAGACATCGAAGTTCAACTGTACACAAATTTCAACCCAGTCATTACTTACCAGATGTAAAAAATGAGGAATATGTAGAGATGTCTCGTGTACAGAAACGTTGGTCAAGATCATTTAAATTTTGACTTGGAATTTCGGTGGACTCTCGCCGCAACAAAAGTCGGGGACCGTAAAATTTTTTGCATGAAAGAATTCCATTCTAGACAACCCTATGGGATTTAAAAAAATAATTTGTTATGCAGAGAAACTCGTTGTGGACGAGCTCTTTGTAGTGAGAGTCCACCTGTACACGCAAAAAACCATCATGGGAATAAAGAATTTAAGGAGCACGGAATCAGTGTTGCCGCAGACCGAAGTCATATTTCTGGGGCTACCGGGTGGGATATTCCAGCTTGAAGTTGTCTTTGGTCCACCGTAAATTTTAAAACTACACAGGCTTTCATATGGCATGCCAGTTCTGATTTGATAAAGACAGGTGAACGAAATCCAATGGACCAGAAAAAAAAATCGTTGTAGAGAACCCCATAACTGTGGGACCAAAATAAATTTCGTTCTATAGAGAAGACAGTTGTACACAAGATTGTTGTAGAGAGAGTCCACCTGTTGAGTCTCAGTGAAAGCTGTTATAGGATTTAAACAAAATAGTAAGTTTAAAAGCTCCAACTCATTTTTGGGACAATACAGTACATATGTGACCAGATTTATTAATTTTTTTTCCAAAATAAATATCAGTACGTTCCTCTTTTTGTTCTCACTTTCGGTCTATAGGTGGCGCAGTTTGTCGACAGGGACCCCGAAGACCGATTTGACCCCATGGCTCGGGTCTTCCCCAAGGTGACCAAGTGCACCTGGCACCAATTCGGTCCTTCTGGTACCATCGTGAAAAAGGACTCCCTGTGCGTCCTCGCCTGGAACATCATCAACGAAAAGATCTACGTTTTCCTTTGGTTCTGGTTCGTCATTCTGGCTGTGGTCACTGCTTTGGGCTTCTTGTACCGCCTTGCCAGTGTTTTCTATTCTCCCCTGCGAGCCAAAATTCTTTTGCTCAAGAACGCAGCTGCTCGCGAGGAAGTCGAGTGCGTGTTGGACCAATGTCACGTCGGCGACTGGTACTTTTTGTCGCACATTTCGGCTGAGATGGATCCCAGGGATTTCAGGGAATTCCTGAAATCCTTGGCCGCCGAGCTGAAAAGTGGGAATAATGACTCGGAGCCTGCCGAGTTTTCCAGCTTGTACCCGAAAAGCAATGACTTGGCGTAACGTTGTTGAACAAAAAAGAAGACGAGGAAGAAAGGGGGTTTTTTTTTCATCTTCTGAGACAGATTTTCCATGTAGCGATTCTCGTGTAATCTTCCTTCATACCGTGTCTCTTCAAGAGTAAGGCAGGTCTTATGCCCCGAAAAATTTGACTAGAGCTTATTCGAGGAGCAGATTTTATAATCTGAAAGAAAAGAACGAGTGCTTTCATGAATTCGGATTGAAATATTTTTTGAGACGGGACGTTTTGTTTTTGGAATCTTCGAAGTAGATCAAAATAAAAAAAAATGAAGTAACTGATGGAATTATTATCAGGAACAAATGTATTTGGCAGCTATTCCCACTTATCCAAGATACTGAAATTCACTTCCTCTCTGTGCAAAATTCAAGAATAGACTTGAGACTAATTTTCAGGGGAAGGCTCATATTCATGGTGATTTTCGATAATAGTGCCAGGGATTACAGATAACTAGGTCTTTGGGGGGGGGGGGGGGGGG